GATCTTGGAAAGCACCGCTCCACAGAGAATCCTCGTTAAGTCCAATTCTTTCGCTCTCGGTATACCCATATACCATCCCCCCAAGTCGGCCGTTGCCAATCGGTAGAGCTTCATTGAACTCCTCGGCAGGTGAATCATACCAAAGGAAGGTAGAGGCGTCAGTTGCTGCACGGGCGGCTTGAAGCCAAAGCCCTAGGTACAGGAGGCATTGTTTAAGACGAGGCATAATTATTTGAGACCCAAATAACCCTAGAAACACGATGCACAATGAAGAATTGTACCCAAAGGACGGTTACTGGTAGCTTGCAGTCTGCCATTATATACCAGCTCAAGATGAGAAACGGAATAATGAGATACGTGATAATTAATTAGGCCGAAGGAGAATTCTTCAACGTTGACCTCGTATCTGATCAAGCAACCGACAAGCCGGAGAAACACGAGGACGAGATATGAGTTCGTATGCCGATCGTGCCAAGTTTTAACTTTAAATTTAAATTGTTGTTGGGTCCGATTCAGGGTCATCCCGGGAGTTCCTGAGGAAACCCCTCAAGCCCGAACAACATCGTCTGGGAACTCCATGTTGGCAGTCAGCACGCATGGAGAAGGATCGTGGTTCCCCCACCCATTCTTCCGCCAAAGAGCAGCTAATGTTATGGGTAGGGATCAATCCCTGCTTGTGCACCGATCAGAAGCAAAACCGAGGAGTTTGTTCTGCGTTCAAGCGGGCAGGAGAGAACAGTTTGCTGCAGAACAGGGTGATCCCGTTTCATCTCTTGGGATCATCGCCCTCGAAGATGAGGGGGCATGAACGAGAAAAGTCTGGCAATCACACGCAACAGTTTCATCTCCGCATGGCTTTCTGGTTTTCTCGACAGGAAATAAATCATGGCGAAGCCCTCAGTTTTGAGGATACCACGGTCCACGGTTTGCAGAGATCTCATCGCCCCAGCCACGCCGCAATCCAGTCCCAATCGTACGGAGCCCTGCATAACGCCAAGCGTGAGCTGAGACTGCGAAAACCAACAGGCTTCCCTGACGCCAACAAAGTTCGGCGAAGTGCGCCTCGAGTGATCATCCTCCCGATTTCTGAAGCAAGACGAAACGATTCCTTCGAGCAGGAAAGGGGAATTTAAGCACTGCAAACAACCCAAACGGATTTCAGCCCCCAAATCTGAACCTGCCCCTGACAATCAAGACCATCGACTGTCCCTGACCTTTTCAGTGGAACCCTTCCCTTCTTCACATTCCCTAAAAATTCTGGTTCGTGGAGGAGGAACGAACCCTTCAAAAAAATACGGGCGACAACCATGGCCGAAATTCCAGAGGATTGCGTTCCGGGAGAGTTCTATGGTTTCCCGGATACGGAAGACGAAGAGGACTATTTACATCCTGGCGAGACGTTCCAACTCCAGTGGGGAGCATACGAGGATGGCGCCGCCCTCAACGTCACTTTGGTGCGCGGCGGTGGTGCTTTCGTTGCGCCAATTGCTGGTATGTCAATGTAACCGAAGAATACGCCCATACGCAACTAACAGTGGCATCATCGCAGAGGGCGCCGTGTTTAGCACAAGTAGCTCGCTGTATAGACTCTACAGCCCATCGGACGGTTGCACGCTCCAGCAATACAATTGGACCATTCCTTCCGACCTTGACACCAGCAATCCACGATACCAACTCGGCTTATTCAACGCTGACACGGAGCGCGGCGCCGATGGAGTTGAATTAGCCGGCTTTCTTTCCTGGAGCCCATACTTCTATCTCGGACCAGAACCAGAACCTACCAGTGCACCAACCACTCTCATAGCGACCGACAACGGCCGCCCAACTGAGACGTCGGCCCCTGCTAACTCGATCACTTCCTCGCCCTCACCTTCTCCTCCCCCCTCCTCCTCCAGCGGACTCTCTACAGGAGCCACGGCTGGCATCGCGGCCGGTGCGGGAGTAGTTGGCTTGGCACTGTTAATCTTTCTCTTCTGGTTCTTCCGACGGCGTCGATCCGCTGCGAAAGCGGCCCCGCCGTACGTCGCTTCACAAGACGAGAAAAGGCCCATATCGACCCAGAAAGCACCAGTCCCGCGACAAACGGTCATCCATGAGATGGATGCCGGCAATGCTGGCTTCAACGAGGCACCAGGAGACCTGCTAAACAGAGAGCTTGACGGCAGACGACGATAGTAAGCACGGGGCCTCCTCTGAATCGCCCCAACTCGACGTCTCCGAAATTAGTCTCAGCGCAACATTTTTACGAATTGAAAGATACCCCATACCACACTGCTTTTACGCATGAACTTATTCCACAACCCGCCCATAACATTTCACAAAACCCTTCAACGACGAATACATCGAACCAGTCCTACCTCCGAATTTTTCGCTCCTATTGTCTCGATAGACGCTGAGTTCCATCTCGTCATATGGATCACTACGTCTCCGGCATTTGTCAGCGAAAGCTCGTGTTTTAAATCTCTGACGCAATACCTGATTGAGAGTGTCGGATAGGATGCAGAAAGTCATCATTAATTGCACAAGGGGACATATTTATATCGAAACGAGCTTGACAAAGGGGATCGCTTACCGCTGATCCACCCTCCGCGCTCAAGCAGGACCACCCCTACGAACACCTCCGAACAGGCGATACTCCGCAATACCCTACAATATCAGCAATCGATTGATAAATGGGATTTTCCTTTGTTTTTTTTAGTTTCAAGGCTACCGGTTTGATATCGTGTAGCGATCTTAGAGTCCTTCTTCATTTCGGGTGTACAGATGGGCCGGAATCTCACGACACACAACAACAAGAGCCTCCCTCGCTTACTCTTATGTTGAAGTCTGGGGCACTCCATGGCGTTAGATAGGCTTGCGCTGTCTTCATCATTCTTTCAGCATTCAGATCGGGAGCCCGGTGGTTGAAAACACGCACATACCTTTATGTCCATTTAAAGCGATCTTGTACATTATTTTTGTGTATCTGGCTCTACTGCCTCTACTGCAGTTGGTTTTGAATTAATATTTTTATCAAAGTTATTCCGGCAACAAGCGTAGTATCCTCGGTAAACTTCTGAGGCTGTGACACCGTCAACGACATGCGCAAAATCCGCGGCTGCTGGTTGGTAGACAGGATCATAGAGATAGTCCCTGCCATCAGTTCGTCAGAGATTCTGGTCTGCATCCTGCGTCTATCTCAGCCTCAGATTTGAAATATAGAGCTTGAGGAGGCCAAAGGCTTCTTCCCAATCACCTCAGGTAAAGATATAATATTAGAGTCTTGGTCATTTGCGTACTAGTTCTCGAGAAGATATGACGCGGGAGGTAGAGTGTGGCATAGGTACCATCATAATTGATTGAGTGATATGCTGTTTTGGGGGTATGTGAAAATTCATCATCTTGAATTAGGCGTCTGTAATAACCCGAAGTTTCTCTATATGTTGGTTGAGCGTAGTGAAACTTCCTCCTGCTCTGTTTGTTGTCACCTTTAGGCCATGTCGAGACCCCTGTATTTTGATGATCTGATAAGATAAGATCTTTCTCCAACAAGATCACATGACAGTCCTCGTATCTTGGAGATCTCCAACTCAATCGCAACCATTCTTCAACAAGTTTCCGCGATCTCAGCTGTGGCGTGGTAATCGCACTCGCCATTGACTCCCCTATCGTCATTGGCGATTGTGCTACCAGCGAAAATGGATTCATTATCGCATTCTCCTCTCGAAGCGACGGCGCCATCTCGACCAACCGTTATGGCTCACACAGCCTCCCCGCTCGAATCACACTCCGAACCCGAATTCATACCGGCAATCGAACCAGCATATCCCTCCCATTCCACCGCACCTCGAGGAACCTCCTCCGATGCGGAAGCCACTTCTTCATCAGGGTCAGCTAACCTCCTTGAAGAATCCACATTACCATCCACAACCTCCGCGACCGAGCGGGCCCCCGCCCCGCCATGGAAACCGCCGCATTCAAGCCTCTTTTCCTTACCGCCCGACTTACCAGCGATGCGCGCTCGCTTCTTCTCCCTAGACACACCCCTCACCCTCTCGCAAGATCAGTTCAAGGAGTACTGGCCATTTGTGGATAATATATATGTGAAGAACAAGGAGAGGCCGGTCACGCTAGATAATACGCGGTCTGCGTACTACTACTGCCGCCTATGGAAGAAGAGCGAATATGTGGGCGTCAGTTCGGCTATCCGTCAGAGGAAGAAGCACTGCCGTGCTACCATTGCATGTCCGATGAAGTTCAAGGCTATATTCTATGGCGGTTAGTTATACCTCCGCTATACCATAATTTACCTACGATTTATGCTAACCCCCTTCTCGAAAGACTCCCACGTTAAATTCGAGCGCCTCGGTGACCACGTTCATAACCACGATTTGGACTACGTGGACAGTATTAAGCGAAATAGTGCCGTCCGTAATATTGCCGCGGCCGAAGTTTCGAAGGGATACAAACCCTGTGATGTTGCGCGAAACCTGCGCGAAAGCACCCGGGCGGATAACCTACGAGCCCTCAAGGACGCAGGAGGGTCATACATTTGTCTTAAGGATGTCCATAATGCAGGCAGGCTGAAGACAGCGGCACAATCGAGCTGAAAGTCGGTATGATGTACGAGACAAGCGGTTGTATGTTGGAGTTTTACGCAACGGAGTTATGTTTGGCATTGATGGGTCATAAGCGAATGTTTTTTAACGGGGATGGGTTTTGACAGGGTGCATATGGAGGATACCTATTTGCTTCGGCAACTGTTTTTTTGTTTGATGTCATGATGGGATGGGGAGAAATCTGTGGGATTGTTAGACTCTTTAACGAAGATCATGCTTGTATTCTAGGGGAATCGATTTCAAGATATTCTTACAGCTTGAACCGCCAATTATTCGGGTAGGGTAGGCCGTCACCCTTCCGCCGTAGCTACCCGCGAATATACACAAACCGGGGAGGCCAGAAAAGTGCAAAAAAATAAATAATAAAAAGGAGAGGAGCAACGATAATGAAGCAACTTCTTTTGGACCAGCGGCGAATTGAACGCCGGACCTTGCCCAGATTCGCAGAATTTAATAGTTAAAACAATGCTAAGGGCATGTCATACCACTAGACCACAGGCCCTGATGAATTTCTTCGAAAAGGAAATGAATGGTGGGGATATTCCAGTGTGGGGCGCGGAGGAGATACGAGTCCTTCGCTTGGATCTCACTACCACCATGAAATAAATATATAGGTTAGGTCTGGATGTTGTTGCTGTGAGGGCGAAATATGTTCATGCCAGACCGCATGAGCCTGGCGGATATAGATACGCTAAGTAAAACTCCAGAGAAGTTCTTACTGAAGTGCTTACTGCCGCTAAAGCTGATAACTTCTATGTACTTCATCGTTGACTGATGTGTATAAGAACATTAAAATCTTCCACCTTTACTTGGCATGAATGCGATAGAGGACTATCCTTTAACTCCTCCATAGTACTCTCCGAGGCCCCGCAAGTGGTCTGTAGATATAAGTCTTTCGCCTCGTTGAGGTGCCGATCAGCTTCCAGTGCCCGTCCGGGTGCCTGGCGTAGTGCCTCGGATAGGTTGAACAGGCATCGAGCATACTTGGCAGGGTGTGTCTTTTTGTGGATAGAGCTAATGGTCTTAGCTTCATCGAGAAAGTCCCTAAAAAGCAGATATTACAGTCAGTACAGAGCGTGAGATCACATTGTACTTGTCAGTTTTCGACCTACAGTGCAGCACCTATTCTCCCTTGTTGTAAAGCGCAACAGCCCAATTGATAAACAAGGATGCCGTTGAAATCCAGAGTGTTAGACTTATCGCCCCGTAACCACATGGATTGGGATTCTAACAGCATACTCTCCGCGGCGTCGTACTTGCCTTCGAACATCAGGAGCCGGCCTATGGCGAATTTGCAACTGGATATTATCAGCGCTGGATTCTTTCGGGCATAATAGGTTTCCCCCTTCCCCTGATAAAGAGCAAACTCACATAGCCGCCGGAGCCCACACAAATGGCTCGGCGCACAAAAACCCGTCCATCGCCTCTATCAGCTGCGGCCATGCTTCGTCATGCCTTCCGCTGTGAGACAAGATCCTTCCGTGTGTTAGCTTCAGAAGCGGAGGATACTTAAGCTCCGCGTCCGTCAATTCAGACCATAGGTTCCACATCGTACGACTGCGCTCGACCCACTGGATCGCAGTGTCCCAATCCTCTAAGCATCCGTGAATAGTAGCTAGGTTGTCTGCGATCCAACAGGTATTCTGGACGTCGATGGGGGACTCAGTCAGTTTGAGATCGTGGGCTATCTGCAAACTATTGAGGGCCATCTTGAAACGGCCTCGGAAGGCCCACATCGAAGAAACGTGGATTTCGGTGGATGAAAGGAGATATATCTCCTTGTCTGGTTCTGGAAGAGTTGCCATAGCGATCTTGTTGACGTCGACAAGGCCTTCGAGTTCGGGCCAATTCTGTGTTTCTAGCAGATATCTAATAGCGTAGTCAGTATACATAAAGGGAACGTACTAAGATATAGAGGGCGTGGGTGGATTACTCCACTCTGTATTTGCGCAATCCTGACTTACCGTTGGCATTGAACCCATGTCTCGCAAGTCTCTCTGCAGGCCGAAAAGCTCGGATCCCGCTTTCGCTCTTCCATGAAGCTCATCTTGAGCTGCAGCACATGCGGTAACCAAAGTTGACACTTGTCCCAGGCATTGTACAGGTTAGCTCGGATAGCCTCTGGCTGCTTCTGCCGCTTTGGAAAGGCGTTGTATATTAAAATTGAAGCTTCAAAAAAAGCCTTTTGCCGGTCCTTGGGGTTTAGATAGCGTCGGAACTGGGTTGCGATGAGGCGGTAGACCGAGAATACACGGTCGTATCTATCTCTTTTTATCAACGCGAGAGCCAACAGTTCCTCCGTGCTTGTACCCAGACTAGTATGCTTATTATTAGTATTCATAGCTGCGGGAAGTGGGTTTGGTACGAGGGCAAAAATCACGAACCGATCAGAGTCTAGATACCGTAGCATGTCCTCCGTGAGACCTTCCGTCTCTTCATTGACCTCAAATAACGACAGCGGTATGCTATCTGGACCACAGTAAGTAAATATTGATAAGAGTCCAGCGCAATCAGAACTAAGGTTCTCAAAAGACGGCTGCCAGACTGTTTCAAGACCGTCATTGAGATCCTTGGACTTATTGTAAGCCTCGAGAACGTCCGATATAGACCACGAACGACGAATAATCAAGCCACCCGCATTTGACAGTGCCAGTGGGTGCCCCCTTAGCTTCTCGGAGAGGCTGTATGCCGAGCGTGATTCGTTTTCGAAGAATTCACCCCTGATTTGTCCTTCGAGAAAATGTAGCAAGAACTCGGAACCGGTATTTGTATCCCAAGGGAGCATTTCAAGGCTGGCCTCCGCTGGGTCAAAACCGAGTGAGTTATTTCTCGTTGTGATCAATACTTGACCATCACTGCCAGGTAGGGGCCAATACTCTTGAAGGACTTCGCAAGTCTGCGCATTATCGTAGATCATCATCCACTTACATTCTGAATAACGTGTTAGTTATTAGTTACCGGAGTTGGGAGCCTTCTGTTCCGTACCACTCTCTTGTAGCCAGCTCTTAACTATCGTTCGATTTTGATCGTGAGTATCTCGCCCTGTATCAGGTAGTTTCAACCTCAGGGCAATATCCGTAAAGCTTTGTTGAATAGAAACCGGATTTTCAGCATTGATCCAGAATATGGCATCAAACTCTTTGGCCAGTTGCTTCTTTTCTAGGTATTTCATGGCCACAAGGCTCTTCCCGACTCCCCCCATGCCATATAGCGCAAGCGAGCGCAGTGATGGTGCTGGATCACCTTCTTGGAAATGTTTCCCAAGCTTTTCAATCACATCTTCTCGACCAAAGAATCGGGAGGTCCGTGAAGGGGGAAGTACGAAGCAAGGTAGCAGAGCCGTATCTCGGGACGCACCAGGTTGCGGGGAGGCATAGAGAAACGACGAAGCCATGTCACCGTGGAAGTGCCTCTGATACATGGAGGTGGCTCTCTCCATGCGATTGAGCGTGTCATCGATATCACCCACAGCAGTGGTAAGCTTTTCCGTGAAATCGTTCCAGACAGGATGGTGCCGAGCTACATTGCTAGTATTAGTTCAAGATTCGCAACATTGATACGATGGGTTTATGAGGTGGAATTCCCACCACGAGCAGATGTCAGCTCCAAGAGATCATTCTCTGCTTGCCGTAATAATTGCACAACCTCTGCGAGAAGGATAGCGATGGTTAAAAATATGACAAAGCAGGACTCTTTATTCTCCTTTGTGACAATGGGGCTCTGTTGACAGTAAAGTAGAAAATCGTGGCAATTCCTGCTTAACTTCTTAAGCATTCGGACGACTCGTCGCATTGTCTCATCGTGTTGCAAGGCCAACTAATAAGAGTTGATACATCAGAAATACATAACTCTGGCATGGTGTACGTCCCATTCCCGCATTCTCTTACTGTAAGTAGTAGGCCAAGCATTCCCCAAAACATGTCCGTGTCAAGGCCCGGGCCAAGCTGTTTGGCGAAGAACTCGCTAAACGACTTCAAATCAATAAGTCGGGGCTGCAGCATGGCCAGCTCTTGGAGGGAAGCCTTAGACGCCTCTTCATCCTGGTCCACGAAAACACGCTCATTTACGTCCTCAGGCGTGCGGAGACATCTGATTATCTTGCGATCATGAGGTTCCATGCGTTCTGCACAGGACTCCGTCACCGACTTCCATTGTTTAGCGAAAAAGTCCTCCCTTGCCAAAAGGCAATGTCAGAAAATCCCTGGCTCAAAATACGAAGAACGCAAATGATATATCGACATACAGGAGAGGGGACTCCATGACTACTATCGTTGTTGGGAAGAACAGACACGGAAAACGGGTGAAGGCCGCCGTGGAGGTTTGAGCCTGGGAAAAGAGAGGGGTTTTATCTGGCGCCGATAAGGTCTTCTTAAGCGATGCCAATCAGAGAAGCGAGGGACCCTACATACAACCCTGCAATCGTCAATCATCTGGCCGTATGGTTCAACCGAGTGACGATGTCGAGCGCGATGTCTACCAACCGACGCCAATGATGCTAAATCATTTCGAATGATTGATTCGAAGGACCCCACAAATCAATTAAATGAGCAAACGCGTGGAGCGAGAGACCCGCGTTTCCCTATTTCCATCCATCGAGGCAGGTCCGTGCAATCGTGCATGTCTGACAAGACGCCAGTAGGTTCTGAAGGGAGTTCCTGTCCGCACTCTCCTCTGTCCTCCATCGGGCCGGAGGGAGGACTACGGACGTCAGGGGGCCCACGCCAACAAGACTGAGTGAACGGGAGATCGTCCCAAGGTGCGAAGACGCTCTTCACCGGTTCTAATCAGTTTATGGAACTATGGGTCAAGTCTCTCAGATAGACGTATATCTGAAACGGAGAGACTCTCTTTCAAAGTCACGTTCATAGCTCAACTGCAAGTATCTGACTCAGTCATATGTAGCAGGCGAAGCTGGAGCTCGATAGCAGGAGAAGGCCGACATCGTCGTCGTTTACTTTCACCCGGCTACCCAGGCAGTTGTCAGTCTACTTGAGTTTGGGATCAGCGCTCGGGTTTCGGGAATGGCTATTGCCGCCTGTCCCAAGGGATACTGGAAGAGAGAAAATGTACAGATCGTGTGCAAGAAGTACGATGTTGAAATGGTGGACAGCGCTGATGAGCTGAGAGAGGCAATCATCAAGAGGCTGCCTGATACTTAGGTTGATTGATACCAGCTCCAGCGATATCCTTGGCTCGTGATTTAAATGATATAATTCTTGCGCGGGATAATCACAGACATACAATCCTCGTGGCGCTAGTAGTTATTCTTGAGACAAAGGCCAGCTTCCAGCAAGAAATAAGTAATGGTGGTAAAGTGCAGCTGTCGAGGTTTGGTGGGTAGGGGTTCGGATTTATATATTTTCTGTCAGTTGACGATGTCAACACCAACACCTCACATCGCAACCAAACTCAATTTCTTGACACACTATCAAAACGTCTACAACATTCCTCAATAAACAATTTCATAACAATAAACCTTTGAAGAGCTATACCAGAGCAACC